AGGACTATTGTTTTGCCTTTTCTAGAATCTCACATATATGAATTAACTCTTGCTTTCTGATTATTATATTGGTGCAGATTTTATTAGAAGGCTGTTTTGGAGTAGAAAGTTTGGGGTTTTCCTTTATAGCACTCACTGCATATTGATGTTACGTAGACCTAGCTATTGTTTTAGAGACTCAGGCCAGTGTTCTTTCCCCCTGTTGCAGAAGGAGTGGGATTTACATTGTAAGCAGCACTATAAAAATGGCCATGCACTTCCTCAGAGCCACTCTGTCAGTTACCTAGACTGAGCCACCAGAATTTACTGATGACACTTGTGAGTAGGTGAACTATTTACGCACTTAAAGAGGAATGCTTAATATTTGTGTAGAATACATGCAAATGTCCAAGTCACAGCAGGTTCATTGGATGCATGCAGTAGTTGGAAGGTGGGCTGAGGATGCTTCCAAAAGTCCCATGACTTCCCCAAAGTCTGAGCCCCCCTGCTAAGTTAGCAAATGTCTTGTCCAAGCGTAGATCTGAAAAAATGTAGCATTGTCTCCTACAGTTCTTACTAGAGCCAGACCTGCAAAGTCAGACACCTCTGCAGTCAGCTGTGTTGGGTACTATTCCTGGACTCCTATAGACATCACCAAAGTCTTGGTTGCAAAAGCCAGTCATGGCTGAACTCCCTCAGACACCTCCCTACACCTGCGTCATGTTGACTTATAACCCTTGAGTAGGTAGGGCTAAGAGAACAACTTCTGTTTCAGGGTATTTCAGTTTGGATTTCCCCAGAAGCAGACCCTGAGGCAAACATTCGAGTGATGATCTGGATAAACATCCTCAGGGAATGGGGCAGTGCAACAGGGAAGGGAAGCCAGCTACATTGGCAGCTGGAGCGCAGTTCCTCTAGGAAACTCGGGGAGACGGTGGCAAGCTCCTAAGGAAGAGGTGAGGAAGCCGAGGTCCTCATGCTCCCAATCCCTGTCTGTGGCTGGCTGAGGGTTGTGTCCAGTAGCATGGGATGACCAGGACTCCTGGCTCACCCTGTGAGCTCCAGTGGTCAGCACATCCCAGAGTACACAGGAAGCAGCCTTTGGTGTGCAAGGGCAGCACTGAGGGGCTGGGGCAGCGCACCTGCAGGGACTGCTATGCACCATACCAGGTTCCCTTCTCCTGTCTATGCACTGTCTAAACCCTGCCTGCCCTCCCTGCACCTGCCTTACACCCTGTGCTCCTCATCAGTTTGCACTGAGCCATCGCTCTTTAGCATCTCACCATTATGGCTTTTTCTAGAAGACTTCTAGGATCTGCCTAGATAACTCCTCCTCAGCCATCAGGTCTCATCTGAGCACCTTTTCTCAGAAAGGCTTGCCCTGGCATCCTGGCGAGCACAAGTCCCCTGCTACATGCTGAGGGGGCACGGGTGGACAGGCCTGCCCAGCGCTCCTCAGAGGCTTTTCAGCAGAAAACCACATTTTCCAGACTTCGGTGCCATGGGCTTCTGGAGGTCGTTGGGAAGTGTCTCTGTAGTGCAGGTGGAGCAGAGCCGGCCTTCTGATTTTTCCACTTTGTGCTTTCTGCATTCCCGTGTGTTTGTGTCAGGCAGACATGGAGATGTGGGGTTGTTTTGTGGTTCTTTTCCAGCAGTCAGGTTTTGTAGTGTCAAGAGGAGAGGAGAGAGGAGGGGACGGGAGGGGAGGGGAGAGGAGGGGAGGGGGAGGGGAGGGGAGGGCAGGGCAGGGGAGGGGAGGGGAGCGGAGGGGACTCAGTATTTTGCTCTTGTGTATTTATCTGGAGTGCTGTGGTTTAGACCAATAGTTGGGATGATGATGTTTTCCTTATACTGATCTTTGGATCACAGTGAATGTGGTGTGTTCCCGGAGACTCTCGATTCTCTGTCTCCCGGATGGTTTCATGCTTGGTGGTTGTCCTTGAGGAACAGGCCCATGGAATTGCTGAGAGTCACTGGAAGTCTAGCCTAGAGTCTGCTCCTCCAGCTCTTCCAAAGATTTTGTGAGCACTCAGTCCATCGATTAAACACTCTCTGCTAAAAATAAGATGTGATGGCTTCTGTCTCCTAAAATTGAACTTTGGTGGATATATCTCATTGCACCCATACTTTTTCGTATTTTGTTTTATTTTTAAAATTAACACATAACTGTATATATTTATGGGTACAATATAATGTTTTGATGCATGCATACATTGTATAATGATCAAATCAGGATAATTAGCATATCTATCACTTAAGCATTTATAATTTCTTTGTGATGAGAACAATCAGAAACCTCACTTCTAGCTATTTTGAAATATATATCATATTATTGTTAACTATAGTTGCCCTACTGTATTTTTTAAATATTATTTTTATTTTCCATATACTTCTACTTGAAAGCAGTTTTGTATTTATTTGTGGGAGTATACAAAATAGGGGTCTTGTATTCAGAAGGTCCCATGATGATGGGCTTCTATCAGCTTTAGCTAGTATAATAACTTAGGGCAGTGGTTCTCAACCAGGGGTGACTTTGTCCCCCAGGACACATTTGGGAATGTCTGGATACTTGGGTCATCATAACTGGGAAAGGTGCTTTTGGCATTGAGTGGGTAGAGGACGGGGACGTTGCTCGGCATCCTACAGCACACAGGACAGCACCAACAGTAACCAGTCACCAGCCCAAACTGTCAATGGTGCTGAGGTTAAGAAACTGGGATTTACGGACTTCTTTCTTTCTTTTTTTTGAGACAGGATTTCACTCCCATTGCTCAGGCTGGAATGCAGTGGCATGATCTCGCCGTACTTCAGCCTCGACTTACTGAGCTCAGGTGATCCTTCCAGCTCAGCCTCCCAAGTAGCTGAGACTACAGGTGCACATCACCACACCTGGCTAATTTTTTGTATTTTTAGTGGAGACGAGGTTTAGCCCGGTTGCTCAGGCTGGTCTCAAACTTTTGGGCTCAAGTGATCTGCCTGCCTCGGCCTCTCAAAGTGCTAGGATTGGGCCGGGCGCTTTGTAATCCCAGCACTTTGGGAGGCCGAGGCAGGTGAATAGCCTGAGGTCAGGAGTTCAAGACCAGCCTGGCTAACATAGTGAAACCCTGTCTCTACAAAAAATACAAAAAATTAGCCGGCCATGGCGGTGGGCACAGTAAGCCAGCTACTGGGCAGGCTGAGGCAGGAGAATCGCTTGAACCCAGGAGGCGGAGTTTGCAGTGAGATGAGATTGTGCCATTGCACTCCATCACTCTTGGGCAATGAGAGTGAAACTCCATCTCAAAAAAAAAAGTGTTAAGATTACAGGCATGAACTACCATACCTGAGTAGTTTTCTTAAACTATATCAAATAGCGTACAGGATCTCTGGGGGAGCAGAGAGCTTGGTGAAATGTACAAGCACAATCCAGACTGCTCCAGGAATCACCCTGATTAAGGACTAGATGCAAGATGCCCTCCTGGGCAGGGGAGTGATTATTGATCCTTACTATGCAGAGCCTATCCTTACATGGAGATAGGCTCATCTTGACAGAAGCTTGGGTCTGTTCTAGTCCATGCTTTCCTGGACTCCCACACCCTTCCTTTTGTAGGACTCTCTTTGAAAAATAATCACTAATAACCTGACTGAGTGACTTGCAAGTTCTAGCCAGTAATAGAATGGCAGTTGTCTCTTTTATCCAAATTGGTAACATTTTGAAAGATTTTATGACTTTAAGGTAGTCTTTTTGTCTAGACAAATTTGTGTGTGTGTGTGTGTGAGGGTGTTATATATTTATGCACACGTAGGCTATTTATTTAATTTTCAAGTAATTCAAGAATATATTGTCATCATAGAAAACATCAGAAGATAAAGAAATACATAGAGAAAAAAGTGAAAATCCCATTTGAACCTCTCTCCCTCTTCACTTGCAATCCCACTGCCCTTCACAAAGGCATCTGCTGCTGTATTCTGGTGTGTATTCTAGATATTTGGTGTGCATACCTTTTCTATGTGTTTACACGCACAAACATGCGTGTAGAAAAGGCATGGTTTTGTTTGAGGATTTGTCTAATTCTTGTGGTCATATGTATGATTTTGCAACTTCCTTTCTTCATTCCCCTCGCTGACTTCTTTTTCTTTTAACTTGATGTGTCTTGAAGAACTTTATACTGAAGAATATCTGGCTTCACCTCATCCTATTGGCTGCTGCCTAAGTGTGGCGTGGGACAGATGTGTTGCTTTCAGGCAACTGTAGAGTGGTGATCACAAGCTCTCCACCTGCAGTCAACCTGCTGGGGCTAAGATTGTGGCTTCACCACTTTGTATATATGTGACCTGGTGCACTTTAGTTAGCTTTCTTGTCGCCTAGTTTTCTCATTTATGCCCTGGTTCTTCATCTGTTAAAAAAAATGTGAGCTTGTGGAAGTCATTCACTTCCAACAGATTAACCAGATGTGCTTACATTGCAGACACCATCTACCATGTTTTCCCCAGGTCTTGACATGAGAAGGGATGCAGTTTGAATTGCATTGAAACCTCATTTGTTCTTTTCTAAAATTTTATTTTCCCTGGCAAAAGAACTCTAAGCAGATATAGTTGAAACCCAGGTTTTAAAAATTCCTAGCTCAAGAAATTATATTTTACATAGTTTCCCAGAAATTTTTCATTCACGACCTGCTGGCTACAGGCAGGATATCAGTTGATTCGCATGATTCTTTATTTCACCTTGGCATGTCTTTTATCAGAAATCATATGGAAACTTTTTAATTTATGGGCTTTTATTGCAATCCTCAATTCACCCTGAGTAGTCTATTATTAAGTGTTCTAGAGGTTCTTAGTGTCTCTTATCAGAGAATTGTATCTCGGCGCAATTCATCTGTAGTCATTCTTCACAGAGAAAATCTTTCATATTACCTTTCTTTCATCATATAACGACAACTCTTGAATACATCATTATTCCACAATGAGCTTATAAATTATTATCATTAGACAATTTTTCATATAATCTGATTTTATAAACTGTTTCTTTTTATTATCGTTAGAGGGGAACCAGTGAATGCATCTGTCTGTTTTGATCCACCATGATAACAGTAATAGAAAAACTAAGTAAGGACATCTTACTGAGTTGCAAACATACTGGATTTGTAATGACTTCAGACCAGGATATTCACGTGCAAATAGCCAAGCACCACGGCCCTCTCTTATGAGTCACAGTGCCACCGATAGTGGCATCTTAATTGGTAGTGCTGAGCTACCCAGATGTCTTAAACTGGATTTTTTTTTTTTTTCTCACAGAAATGAGTTTTTATTTTTATTTTTTTCATTTTTGTCTTGAGACAGGATCTTGCTTTGTCACCCAGTCTGGAGTGCAGTGGTGTGATCATGACTTACTTGAACTCCTGGGCTCAAGCAATCCCCCCACCTCAGTCTCCAGAATAGCTGGGAGTGTAAGCGTGTATCACCATACACAGCTAATTTTTAATTTATTTTGTAGGGATGCGGTCTCACTATGTTGCCCAGGCAAGTCTTGAACTTCTGGGCTCAAGCAATCCTCCCACCTCTGCCTCCCAAAGTGCTGGGATTACAGGTGTGAGCCTCTGTGCCTGACTGCCAGATTTGCATCTTAAAGGACGGTTCCATTGAAGTAAGTTTTTAAAATGTAAAATAAAATATTTTTAAATGGAGAAGAAGCCAAAGTAGATTACTTAGGAATATATGATTTGCTATGTGTAATGGTAACCGAAGGAAGACCTCTCACCTGTGACCTACCTACCTCCCGGAAACCTATTTGCCTGTTTTTAGAGAATGCATATTTTGTCATATAGAAGTAGGAAGGTACATTTTTCACATATGGCTTGTAGATCAGTGTTGTCCAACAGAACTTACTGTTATGATGGGCCTGTTTATCCCCTGTTCTGTTCAATATGGCAGTGGTGGCTGCATGCAACGTTGAGCTTGTGAAATGCGGCTAGTGCTACTAAGGAACTGAATTTAAATTTTCTTTAACACTTAAATAGCTTCACGTGGCTAGTGGCTATTGTCTTGGGTAGTGCAGTTTTAGGTTGTCCTTAGTTTGTAGTGTGTATATTCTGTGTTACTGCTTGCTTCCAATAGTTTGGGTAATTAAGAACTGACTAGCGTTTCTCCACCCAGTCTAATCAATCCTTTAGGTGAGTAGAACACATAACACTGATTCGAAAGACAACAATTTTTTTTTGAGATTGGATCTCGCTTTGTCTAGTGCTGGAGCACACTGGCGTGATCTCAGCTCACTGCAGCCTCTGCTTCCCAGGCCTGAGCAATCCTCCCACCTCAGCCTCCTCAGTAACCGGGACCCCAGGTGCATGCCACCATATCCAGCTAAATTTTGTATTTTTTGTAGAGATAGGGTCTCACTATGTTGCCCAGGGTGGTCTTGAACTCCAGAGCTCAAGTAATCCTCCTGCCTTGGCCTCCCAAAGTGCTGGGATTACAAGTGTGAGCCCCTGTGCCCGGCCAGGAAGGCAATATCAACAATAACCAGCCTTCTCAGAGCTCTGCTTGTCTTTTCACACATTACCTGGCTTAACTAATCAAATGAAATCTTCCCACCAGTAATGAGGGAGGTAATACTTTTATCTTCATTTTGCAGTTAGGGAATGAAGGAAGCACAGAGAGCTTAAGTGACTCGTCCAAGGCCACACAGCTAGTGGCTGTCCACCTGCCCTCTTTCATATCCCATCTACGTGTGTGTTTAACGTTCTGTTCTACTGCATTTACACACATGTCTATTCCTATACTGCTTCCACATAGTTTTATTAATATTTACTAACATTTTATATTAAGTTCTGATAACTGCAGGCAAGTCTCCCTCTGTGTTCTTTTTCAAATTAGTCTTAACCTATTCCAGAGCCTTTGCTTGTTTATATTAGGGTCTCCCAACTTTGGTATCATTGGTACTTGGGTCTAGATTATTTGTGGTAGGATCTGTCCTGTGTGCTGTAGGATGATGAATAGCATCTCTGGTCTCTACACTTAGACTCCAGGCATTGCCAAATGTCCACTAAGGGCAAGAATCACTCTTGGTTATAAACTATGGTTCTGGATAAGTTGTAGAGTCAGTGTATGAAATTTCAAAAACAGTTTGGTTTGAGTGTTGATTGAAACCCTGTCAAATTTATAAATTAGTTTTGGGAAGAATCATTACCATTATAATATTGAGTCTTCTCAAACAGGGACCCCTTTTACCTCAACATTTTTTCAATCTCATTTCATGTCTTTAAATAACATTTTATAATTGTCCTCACAAAGGTTGTGTGCATCTTTTGTTAAATTTATTCCTGGGCATCTTGTGGTGTTTTGCTATGATAAAGAGATATTTTCTTTTCTGATTCCAAGAATTGGTCATTATTGCTATGAAAGAACATTAGCAATTTTTAATGTGTTTGTCTTACATATGAAAATCTTCTTGAACTCTTTTATTAATTCTAATAGTCTGCACATCTTCTAGAATTTTTTATGTAGATAATTATATTGTCTGCAAAATAACCACAATGTTGACCCATTGTTTAACATTCTTACACCTTTAAGTTCTTTTCCTCATCTCATTGCACTGACTAAGACCGCCAGGAAAATGCTGAATTCTCGCAGGGACAGAGGGAGACTTTCATTTTACAAGCAAAGAAACAAAGACTTGGGGCTGTCCAAGGTCATTCAGTGAATTAGAACAGCGTAAAGGCTAGATTCTAAGGTTTACAAACTTCTTTTTCCTTTATTCCTTCTTGCTGCTTTTGTTTTGGTTAATTTAGCGAAAAAAAAAAAAAAAACAATTTGCTGTTAGAACTCTTTTCATTTTAAACCTATTAAAGCCTTAAAAGAAAGTTACTTACAGTCTTTTGTACCTGCGGAGTATAATGCATCAACACACTGATACTGACATAAAACCTCTGTTATTCTCTCATTATAAAAGCATGTCAACTCTCTAATATCTACTAGTCTGCAAGTATGTTTCCTCTTGGAAAATGCCTGAGGTAGTGTCTTCCTGCTAGTGAGAGATATTAAGGGGATCTGAGCCCTATAATAACAATAGCTATGTTAGATGGATCATTTAACATGAAGCAGGAACTGTGATAGATACTTTACAAGTATGCCCTCATTATGTCTTTATAACAATACACTAAGGTGTGTATTATTATCCCTGTTATACAGATGAGGAAACTGAACTTCAGGGCAGTAGGTAATTTGCCCAAGGCCTCTTGTCTCTAAGTTTGCTGAGCCTGGACTCAGACCTGGGTTGGACACCAAAGGAAATGGCCTACTTGCTATAGATTTGGGTCATCGGTAGGTATACACATGTAAAATTAATACTGGATGGATTCAAATTCAGTTTGATGGGCCTAGGAGTTAATTCTTTTTATTGCTTAGGTTCAGCAAATGAAGTTGTCTCCTAGCATTACTTCCACATAAATACATATGAAGTAGGAATAGATTTGATTTAGTAAATGCCTCCAATATGCTGGGTACATCATGCATCTTATATCTTATCTGTGTAACAAATTCGAAAGGAAAGTCTTGTTAGTACCACTTCAGGGAATAAGAGACTGGGGTTCATGGAGATCTAGAAACAGCTAACAAGGAGCACAGCTGGGTTGCACACTGCTTCTTGCACCACATCAGGCTGACCAGTTGACCTGTGAGCCCAAAGTTCTGTTTTGATCACACTAGATTCTCAGTTGAAAAAGTAGAGTCCAGCAGTTGCTTTTTAAAGAATCATTTCCGTCATTATGCAGTATGTGGAACCAAAGAGGGGCTTCTATAAACATGAGTACATGTTCCCAGACAAAGGAGATAATATCGATGACAAACAGCCGTTATCTAGAACATCTGTTAGGCTGTTTCTCCTGGTTTTAAATAATGCATGGCATGCTCTAATTCAGGTGTGCTCTAAAAACCCAGCAGCTTCTCCTGTGATTTCTGTGATCCCTGGGTATGATGAATGAGAATATCTGTTGATCATGGAGTACACCACTTAAGCACCTTGGCTGCAGATCAAATTTTCTATATTTTTAACTATAATTATAGCTATAACCAACACTACTTATCTTGCTTTATAATTTACATAGTGATTCCACATTCAGTGTCTCATAAGCATTTAATCCCCAAAATGGCTCTGCCTGGCAGTCATTAATATTGTCCTCACAATAGTGTTTTTGAGATTGCCCACATGTATCAACAAAGAGAGACATCCAAGGAATAGTGTTCTTTGAGAAGAATGGATTTTTACAATATGGTTTAATGTGGTACTGTTTTAGTTGAATTGTGTTCAGAAAAAAAGATGAAGGAACATATATTAAGCAGTTAGCTGATATCTCTGGGGGTATGAGTTTCAGAAAAGCTTCTTCATTCTATTTTACATATGCCTGAATACCTTTTATTAGTTTTTAAGTTTAAATTTTATAAATGTAAATGGTTTTTTGAAATATATATTTTACACAAATACAAAGTCATACAGGTATATTGTTTAAAAAATTGTGCAGTCCCATAAAGTTGGTAATAAGAGAGGTATTCTACCTCATCACTCACTCCTACCAGTATTAGAAGGTAACAACCCTGAACTCGTAGAGCACCATTTTAAGGATTAGGAGACCGGGGTTCATAGAGATTTGATAACAGCTAATGAAGAGCAGAGCCAGGATGGGTATTTATTACTCCATCTCAAACTGAGTGGTTTTACTGTTATTTGTTATTGTTCAGTTTTAGATATTATATATTGACTTCCTGCTGTGGAAGATGAGGATTCAGACCCCTTCCATACCTCCTTTCCATCCCTCATCATTCCACTGTGGTCATATCATTAGTCACTGTGAGACATGCACATTATTATGACTGCAGGTCAATAGCACTTGCAGCCAAGCCATACCATGTGCTGTCTAGACTCACATTTCCATTCGTGTACAGCTTCTCCTCCGAAGTTAATAATAGTCTATTTTTAAAAAAACATTTGATTGTTATTCAAAGAAAATCACTCATTCATTTTCAAGCTTTCTACTGGGAGCCTGTTTCTTCTCAAGATGATGCAGGACAGGGAAGCTTCAAAAATGGGACCTAGCATGAAAGGGTTCTTGGCTTCACTCAGGAAAGGATTCAAGGTCAGTAGTGAGAGAAAGCAGTTTTTAGCAAGTGCTGGCTGGCTCAAAGGCAGTGTGCTCAGCATCAGCAGTGTACACTGGCAGCTGTATTTATACTCACTTTGAATCACATGCTAATTAAGAACTGGGTTATTCAGGAGTTTCTGGAAAAGAGGTGGGAAGTTTCAGGAACCATTTAAGTTAACTTCCGGGCTATTGCCACGGCCTGTTGCCATGGTGTTTACAAGCTGCCATGGCACTAGTGGAAGTGTCTTCATGGTAGTGAACAGTGAGGCCACCTGGAGGCTGCTCTTGTTGCCGCCTGCTGGTTTTGGGTGGCTTCTTCCCTGCGTTCTCTTCTGCCTAGATTCTGCTTCCATCAGTGAGGTTGTGACTTGAAAATAAGTCCTGCCAGTCTCC